TTCCTGGTTCTTGTTTATCAGTTGAGTAATAATATAATCCCAGTTGAATAAAATATATTTCATAAACATTTAAAAGGCATATTTGGACTTTATATAAAAAATTGAAATGTTCTCTCATAAGAATATCGCAAAATTAAAGAATTGGATTATTTTAATTATCTATAAATTAAAATTTTGAAAAAAAAATTTAAAGTCCGCGATAATGCTGCGCCACTAAATAAAAATGACAAAGTATTTTAAAAAATGCCATGCTAGACGAAATCATAGTTTTTTGAGGTATGTTATGCTGAAGAATGTGCATTTTGGAAATAAAATTTCTATTTTTTTTCTAATGGATCAAGTATTAAAGATTTTTTTTTTTTTCGACTCATTGTAGGTGATATTATTGGGAACATTTTCCCGGTTGATAACAAAGGTTTTTTTTAAATTTGGTAAAAAGATTATGCGCATGCAAATGACTACTGCGCTACTTGATAATAATAATAAAAAAAAGATATATTTCAATCAATTTGTTTATTTTTATCATATCAATATTATAGCTTGCTGAAATTTAAGGAGTTAATATATATCGGAGAAAATTACGATCACCTAGGGTCATACAATTGATATACGATCGCTCGGGGCATAATCTTATATTTTGATATTACATAATTATGCTGTAAAAGTATTCTGTATCTGTTTATTTTATCAGTTTAAAAATAGTTATGAAAATCGATAAAGTAAAATAAAGTTTAAAAATATATAAAAATATAGCAGAAATAAGGTAATAATTATGTCAATTTAAGGGATTCTTCTAAATATCATTATTATAATCTTTATGAGGTGTCAAATTTGAAAATCATTATGACAATAAAATGAATTAAATGAATGGACATAATATAAGAAATGGATAAAAAAAATTAAAAAATGATGAATGATCATTTTGCCGCTCAGCGAATAAAAGTTGGTTTAACATTCAAATACTTTCCAATTATATAAAGTACCATGAAAGTGATAACATTTATCCCCATCATTAGTGATTGGGCCAAGCCGTGTAAATGCTTCAGTAATACCTTGATTTACACCGAAATCGAGGTAATATGCTTTTACATTATCAGGAATAGTCAAAGAATAACCCTTGTGAGCAGTTGCACCAGCGCTGGCGAATTGTCCCCCTTCTCCGTTTGTTAAGGCAGCTGTAACAGATGTTTGTGTACCAGCCGTAACCTTGTTATGTATCCTCACTTTATGATCAGCTTATTTATTCAATCCAACAAATATATATAAAATTATTAGAGCAGATATTATTAAAAAATTTAAATATTTTGTCATGATAATTCATGTTTACCTTCAATGAGAGTGAGCGCCATCGATGTTAATAGGCCAAAGATGATTGCAATTAATGTGGAAAATTTCATGGTGAATTTATATTATTTTTTAATAGGAGTAGTAAGTATGTTTTGATGAAGTTTTGATTTGATCCATGCTTTATATTTATAGCTAAAAATTTTTCATAACGTCAAAGGAAAAAAAAAACTAAACAAAATTCCTTTTTGCGATATTCACATTTTTATTTTTTATGAAATGATTTTCATTATTTTAAATTTCTATTTATTTTCAAAAATGGACAAAATTGTAAAAAAAAAAAAAATATTTTGTTGTTGTTTTTTGGATGATGTAGCACATGATGCATGGCGTGTCACGTTGGGTTGGCAGATACTAATTTTCAT